AACTTTAATTTCCGCTAATCTCCTTTTCATTAAATTTTTTTCTTCAAGGATGTCAATGGCTCCCTAATATTTCGTTTCCTTGTGTTTTCAGCATATGAGTCCCTTCTTTGTGTTGCCTTCCAATTGATTTCGTGTCCATGCTGTGCAATGTATTCCGCTAATTTTGATCTTTCGATATCCATTTTGCTGAAGAGCCATTGATGTTCCTTGATTCGTATGCTGATTTTCCTCCCTGATTCGCCAATATATTTCTGTTCGCATGCACCGCATGATATAGAGTAAACTCCTGAAAAATCCAATTTGTCTACCTTCTCATGTTGCGTTGGTAGACTTGTGAAAAGTGTTGTTTTTTCTTTCATGGTCATGCAAATATTCCATTTCCTTAATAATGGCCGTAGTTTTTTTTAGTTAATTAGCAGGAAGGTAGGCATATCCACTTCTGTGAATTCTTCTACGTCTCTACTGTTCCTCCATAGTCCCTGTTCTGCCATCGGCTTTTCACAGCTCATATGCTTCTATATATTACTTCGCCTGGATAGCCGTTTCCGAGGCATATTCTATTCAACTTGTCCAACTTCTGGTCCCTGAATTCCACATTCTTTATTCGTAGGCTTCGGATGAGCATGCTCCTCATTATTCCTATCTTTAGCGTGTAATTGTGATGGGACTGGAAATTGAGTATTATCCCGGCATAAGACTTCTTTCTGAACAATTTTTTTGAGCGTCCAATTAGAGCATATCACTTCAACATCCAGGAATTGTAACCGCTCACCTTTCTCTACGTCCATCGTGAATTTAATTTTTTCATTAATCTGGTCTATAAACTTAAAAAAATCTTTCAGTTTTTCTCTTCCATGTGATCAAAGTGCAAAGTAATCATCCAAATACCGCATGAACACTGCTGGTTGTAGCGCTGACATCTTGATGTTATCTTCTAATTTGTTCATTTATACGCTTGCCAAAAGTGGTGAGAGTGGAGATCCCATAGAAAGTGCAAATATTTGTTCCGTTGAATGTAAAATAGGTTATCCTTATTCTCAAATTGTTTAGCCGTGTTAACGACTCCCTCCTGATCGGTTGTAATTCCAGAATATCCTGCTTTCGGCCCAGGATTTCCAGTAGGGCCGTTAGCACATTTTATCCAGAGATATTTGTATACATGGATTCCATATCGAAACTTTCCAATAAGTCTGTTTTTTCCAGTTCCATCTTTTTGATTGTTTGAGAAAATTTTTCTAAATGTTTCACCATGTCTGATAGCCTGTGATTTAATTTATTGAGTTTCAAACATATGAACTTTGCCAATTTGTTTGTTGCTCCATACTTGTTGTTGACTATCAGCCTTAGTATCTCGCCTTATTTTGTGATCCCGGTAATCCGTAGGCTGTTGGTGGTCGTGTATCTTTTCTTATTTATGCGTCAATTTTTACGTTCATATGCCTATCTTTCAGCATGTCACTTAAGATTCCATTGATCTTCATAGTTAGGTCCTATCTCGTAGAATATATTACATCTTCTCGGTATATTGTTTTTGTCCATTATCACTGTCGCTCTTCCTTTATTCGCCCGAAGGTCTAATTGTTCATTAGTTTCCAGTGTCTTACGTATCCTGGCAAATCTCTTCCTCTGTGTTGGCTATTGATATGTCGGAGATATTGATAATCTCTACCAGGATGTCTCCTAGAAGGCTTCTGTCATTTTCAATTGAAAAGTTAAGTCCTATTTCTAGGAACGCGGTTAGTTCGGTATTGAGAGGAAATGATGATGAGTTTACTACATTATTCCGAGGCAACAGAAAGAAGAGTCTCATACGCAGAAAACAGAAGGAAACGAAAGATTAGGGAGTCATTGACATCCTTGAGGAAAAAAATCGAATGAAAAGAAGATTGGCGGAAAGTAGAGTTAGCGATTACTTTGCCTACTGCTTAAACAAACTCGGGTAAAACAAAAATACAGCAAGATCAGCAAAATGGAGACGCATGGATCAAGGATATATCGCTAACCGGAGGAAAATGGACCATGATGAGAAAAACGGGCTTAGGGGATTTTGGGCAATCAAGCGAAGAGGTTGTCAGTGTTTGATATCTATTCGAATAATTTGGTACAACTTTGAGGGCCTGGCAGAAAGGGAGCAAACCGTCACAGAAATTCAGCGTTATGGCCAAAATGTACCAGAAATTCACTTGATGCCGCATGCGCTCAGAAATAGGCGTGCACAGTTTGCTCAGGTAACACTCGTTAAATCAAGAAAACTACGCGTGAAGGCAATGCCTGATATCTGCAAGCATGGGAATCAGAGCCTAGGAGCTTTTATCGGTGAAGCGGCAGTGTACGTGCTTCTAGGGCACACTGGGACTGGAAATGAGTGAAATCGATCAATCACAATGATAAAGAACGGATCTACGAGACCACAACGTAGATCCAAATAGGAGGGCCTAGTCGGATTGGTCGATCTATAGAGAGGGGGTCAGGGTGAATAGCAGGTGTGATGAGGCCACACTAAATTTGCCAAAAAGGGCACACATTTTGACGAATAGTATGTAAACAATTCAGAAGTTGTGATAAGGCGGAAGTATGATTAGAGTGTAAAGAGTTTAGAGTTGGACCAGGACAAAAAGAGGAGTGATAATGTAACCGTTTTCGGCAGAACGTATATTGAGTGATTGACTCTGAAGCGTTCGTAGCTTTGTTTGGAGAATGGCAACACTCACAGATGATGTCGACTACGATACCGGTGAAACGTCTGAGAATGTACCAAGTCCACGGTCTTATGCTGGGAATTATGATAGCTACTATGGCAGAAGACTTCGTACAAGATGCGTTCTACTAATAGGCCCTGACAGCAAAACCAAGTTGAGACGACGAGGTCAACCCATTTATATAAATGGAAAGGAGGCTATGACCATACCGGGAGCCACACTATCTTGGTCTTCATTTCTTCCTTTTATTGATATTGTGGAGACGTTCATTTCGTCTGAAAGTGCATGAAGAAATTCATTGTTTGATCTCACTAGAAGACAACGGCTGAATCCAATGGTACTACAGCCGTTTGGCTTTACTACGGCGTTCAGTTTGACGCAGCTCACGAAACAACCTCCTTCGTTTCGAATGACTACGGGCTGAGCTTTCGTCTTCATGTGATGGACATTATCAGAGCTGGAACTCATTCTTGTAAAAGTTTTACGTTAACACTGGATCAAGAAGACTATTTGGCTCTATCCTACATCTTTATTGGGTTCAACTAAGCAAAAGACATCAATAGGCCTGGATAGATATATAATCGTTTAGCTAATTATCTTTTTTATTGGTCCTACTACGTTTGTTAGGGTGTATGCGTGTGTGTTGATGTCTATACGCAATACTGGTCCTAAATCAAAGTGGTCAAAAAGGCTAATGTAGGGCTCTGGTCAAAAAGGCTTAATGACCCAAGAAAGAGCCCTGACCCAGACTGCATAAGTCCGTAAGCAAGTATTGTTTAGATACTGAGAAGTGTGTATGTCAGGTTACGAAACCACCGGTCTTAACCTCTCAGTCTAGGGTTATTAACGTTTCACTACTCACGGAAATGCATTGCTGGCGATGCGTAATCTCGTACGTCTGGTTTGGTTGATGAGTTTAGTCTAAACTGCTGGACAAGTGTGAGTGAAGTTAGAACCACTACTGAGCAGACAACGTAGAAGGAACATTAGTTTCACAATG